AGATAGGACATGCCGGCTTTCTCTGGTAAGATAAGGCCCTGTTGCCGGGCGTTGGTGGCGCATGCCTTTAATCCCAGCACTCGGGAGGCAGAGGCAGGCGGATCTCTGTGAGTTCGAGGCCAGGCTGGACCGACAGCCTCCAAAACAGAGAAACCCTGTCTCATAAAACCAAAAAAAAAAAAAAACAAAAAAAAAGATAAGGCCCTGTAGAAATACACAGATTAGTAGTTATGGGTTAGTAATTAAGACAGAGCTAGCCAATAAGAAGCTCTAGATATCAGCCAACAGTTTTATTATTACTATAGCGTCTCTGTGTGTTCATTTGGAGTTGAAGTGGTGGGACCTGGTGGGACAGGAAATTCCAGTTACAGGAAGCCCTGGGCCTGGCTGGGGCATTTGAAACACCAAAGCCCACCCTCAGTGACACACTTCCTCCAGCAAGGCCACACCTACTTCAACAAGGGTACACCTCCTAATGCCACTCCCTAAGCATTCAAATGCATGAGCCTATGAGGGTCAATCTTACTCAAACCATCAGTTAGTTAGTTAATGGCAAGGACTTCCTTCCAAAGGCCCAGTCACTAGGGGTTGAATTAATTCCAGATGTAGTTGAGCTGATAACCAAGAACAGACATCATAGCCCACATAGGAATGTTGGCAGAGACAGCTTGTCTCCCAAGCGAATCTGTCTTGCTTAAACAGAGAATTCCAGGAAACAGGGACTGCAGACCCACATGTAGTCCCTACAGTTGCAGCAATTTCCTCATTCCTAACCCCAACACCCTGCCCCTATAAAAGGTTCCAGTCAGCTTTTTCTCTTGAAAGCACCCCCTTTCCCATGGAAGAGTGTCTGTCCTTCACTGCTTGAGATAAATACTCCCATCTATTGATGCCAGATGCTGAGCGCTCTCTCTGCCTTGTGTGTCTTTATGCTGCCTCAGACATCCAACATTTATACACTGCTACTTCCAATGGCCGTGAAGATAAGGACCTCATGTTGTAGACTACACCAGAGCATTCCATAGAGGGTCTCACATTGGCTCTCAGCCACAGGGGCTAGCCTTAGTAATTAAAAGCAATTTAAATGAGACCTATTTATTTGTGTGTATATGTGCTATGGTGACCTTGTATCATGGTGTGCGTATGGAGGTCAGAGGATAACTTCAGGACTGGTTTTTCTCCTTCCACCCTGGGGGTCCTGGGAGTTAAGCTCAGGCTGGTAAGCTTGGCAGTAAGTGTGATCTCTCACTGAAACCCACCTTAGTAATGTTTGTTGTTTTAATGCAGAGTTCATCAGTGAATGTTGGATACAGCTGACATTAAGACAGTCTTCCAGATGAGAGAGTTTCAGTTAGGTGTGTGGTTTCAGTCCCACAATGGCTCTCAGACTGCTCTGGCGGCTGCTTGAAGTGGCTTGTGACAGGATAAGCACAAGTTGCCCACAGGGCCTTATGTTGCCAGTGTGAGAAAATTGCACAGTGAGCGGCATGCTGGCCTCTGTGGTCTCAAGGCTGCCTCCACAGCCTTTCTCAGAGCCTACTTGGCTCTTCAAACAGTCCCAACCCTTGTATTATGTAGCAGATATCCATCCAAATGACTTAGTGACTCATTTTAAAAACAATTCATTATAGATTTCTGAGGGCCTGGTTTTGGTAATATAGTATTATGAAAATATCTCCCTCTCTCTCAAAATCTCTCTCTCTCTCTTTTTTTCTTTCGAGACAGGGTTTCTCTGTATTGTTTTGGAGCCTGTCCTAGAACACGCTCTGTAGACCAGGCTGGCCTTGAACTCACAGAGATCCGCCTGCCTCTGCCTCCCGAGTGCCGGGATTAAAGGCGTGCCTTACCAACACCCGGCTGAAAATATCTCTTATATTCTAAGTGACTGGAACTTTTGGAAGAGGATGAGGTGGAGCCCAGGGGTAGGGTAGCCTTTTCAAGCCAGGAAATGAACTATGGCTGCGTGTGTTGCAGTTGTTTGTGATTATCTCGGGTTTTTATCCTTAATATTTGTCCCTGCGTTTTATCTTTTAATGGAAGAAATCACATTAATTCAACAGAATGAAGTCCCTTGTGAGGGACAGTGACACAATGCAGACACAGACTATTGCACACAAGACAGACACATAGAACACACAGGGCCAAACAGACTCACAAGCGAGCCTTCAGACAGCTGGACCTCACAGCTAAAGTTAATGATCCACCTTGAAGTCACTCAAAACTCAGACTCTCACGAAGGCCATGCTACTGTGTACTCAGACTGTTTAACCTGCCTGTGAGAGAACAATGTATCAATCACTGTTACTTGTGTTTCCAATAATCAACGTTTACAACATAAGCTAATACATCACTGTAATCTTAAGTAATGTACTCTTTCGTGCCTCTGGACCAGACAATGCAATTAAGTTACATGTTAAAAGCAGCAATTACAGAAGTTGAAAACAATCTTCTAAAATCTACCATAAAAAATGAAAGCAACATTTATGGATATTGGCTGATAAACAATGATGGACATTGTTTGGGTAACCTGGAGTCAGTCAGTGACTTAACCCTTTGTAAAACTGTTAAAAAGGCCCCTAAAGTGTCCCAATTCCTTCTCCATGTGATGTTTTCTGTGCTGTTCAATGTTACAGTAGTTTTGTCTAGGTGTGGTCTGATGTCCAGTGGGATAGAGGGTTTGGTTCAAGAATTGGGGTTCATATTCAGTTGACTGGATTGGAACATGGAGTTCCCTGAAGGACTTGAGAGGAGAAAGACCCTCAGAAGAGGATGAGGTGGAGCCTAGGGGTGGCTGTGTGTGTTGCTGTCATTTGCAATTATCTCGGGCTTTTATCTTTAATATTTGTCCCTGTGTTTTATTTTATAATAAAAGAAATTGCATTAGTTCAATACAGAGTGAGGCTCCTTGAGAGGGACAGACAATAACACAACACAGACCCAGACAACTGCACACAAGACAGACAGACACACTTAAACACACAGACACAGGGCCAAACGGTTCGCAAGACAGCCTTCAGGAAGGCACAGATTCAGACTCATGCAGCAACAGACAGATGACAGAACACTCAGGGGGAATAAAGTAGAGAATTCAAATCTGGATTGGATCTTGGCTAAATGACTCAAAAGGGAAATGCTTTTCTTTCTTAACATGCCACTGAAGCATTACTAGTAACTCTAGTCACTAACAGGCATAATCCACGCATTAGGTGAAGCCATGTTTTGCCTTGGCTTTATGACCAATTTCACAAACTTTCTTTACAAGAGCTCCAGGATTCAGCAATTGTCCACAGTGTTGGCTCCTAAGCTCTATGACTGTCTCCTGAGGAGCTGGCCTGGTGTGGACCGGAAGCAACAGCTGTCACGTGACCAGCAGCCTGACCATGCCTTCCAGTGTATGATCCCTGGATTGCCTTCCTCTATGGCCTCAAGACCAGGTTTCAAATCAACAATCCAGAGCTTCCAGAACCCTGCTCTAATATAGATGGGACCAGCCTGAATGGCCCTGTGATCTGGCTGTAAGTATGGACTAGCTTCCTATGACCTCTCACTGAATTGCCTCTTAGAAAAGGCTGTATTAACCAAATGGCCCTCTACAGGAGAGAATCAACCATATGGTGTATAAACCAGTCTTTCACACAGTACCTAAATTTTAAGCTTTTAAATTGGCTCCCAAGAGTACCTTTATAAAAGTTTATTGTGAGTTGGGTAAATAGCCTTCCAGTAGTCATGTACAGATGGACTACCTATGGAATTGCCATCTAATCTAGGATGCTATAAATTTAAGTGGCTAGACAAACTCTGGGATTATTCCTGATAAAATGACACCTTTAGTTATCAAGGCACATGCCACTAACCTCAATGGCTAGCTCACGTTACAAGTGTCTCTTCCCAAAATGCAACAGGAATAGGCCTTTAAAATGTCTTGCTGGCGTACAAGGCTTTTTTTGCTTGGCCTTTGAAGGTGGCAGGGGCTTTCAATGTACAGTCTGATGAACATATGTCCTTGCTTGCAAAGTGGCCTTCAAGGTGCTCCATGCCCACCTGTCAGGAGAAGGCAATGCTTTCGGGTAAAGGTCCATTGCAGACTGCACAAAACAACTCTTTTCTGTTGCCCTAATTCTAAAAGGTCTTTAAATAAAGGCTTGTTTGTTGGTGTACAAAACTACCCTTTTTGGGAAAGGATGCCCACTAAAGGACGCAGTATCTAATCCGAGTGGTTCTTTGTAAGGGGACCAACCTAACCTAGCAGGAACTACGGTCTCCTGCTGCTCACACCCAAGCACAGGCCTGATGCACTTTTTAGGATGCATTACAGAAGCTGGTCTCGATTGCTGTGAGAGCACTGGCCAAGGGGTTGCTGGAGGTCTTAGCTTGAGCAACCTTCTAAGAAAGCACGTGCAGCCCTTCTCTCAAAGTACCGGAAAAAACCAGCTGCTCATGCCCCTCTGCTTGTCTGGAGGACTGGCTAAGTGGCCTAGGCAGAAGACGCCCTGGAAGTTTGTGGTCCGCTGCACCGGCCTCTGTCCGCTTTCGGGAGCCGGGAGGGTTTGGCGGGTTCCAGGGTGGAGGCTGGAGACCTCCCTTTTCTAGCAGTGGCCAAAGCCGCACTTTCCTGACGGTCGGCGCAGGCATGTCGGGTGGGTCTATCTGGCCACTCGGCGTCTCCACACTCGAAACATTAACCAAAGCCACGCAGGGAAGAAGTGCGTGTGGAGGGAAAAGGCACAATGCGACAGACGCACGGCCGTAGGGTGGCCGGAGCAGTTTCGCGCACGCGCTATTTGGCACTCCTAAAAGCTTATGTAATGCGCGGGCAGGACCCTACAACTCGAGCGGCTTCTCGAGCAGCTCCCAAGCTTCCCAAGGCGCCTGCGCGAAGCCGTCCCATCGCTCGCCGGCTCTGGGGCTTTAGTGTGGCGCTTGCGCAATTCGTCCTTCCGGACCCACGCTGCGTGTCTAAGCAGCCCCAGGTGCTAGCGCTCTGTGGAGCTTCAACTAACCTCTCTGACGCTTGGACTGGGCTACTCCTCATCGCTGGTGACGACTGATTCCGCCAGGGCGAAGATTCCACGGCTGGCCTCGTTCTCAGGAACTACACCAGGGAGCATCGATCACTCCCGACTCGGCTGATCGCGACGAGAGCCTAGAGGAGCGCCGAGCGATCGATGCCCCAGCCCCGCCCTCTTCAGGTCGAAGACTACGGCGGTTTGAGTTCTTTCTCACCCACGATTTTACCTAATTCTTCCAACTCAGATGATCAGTTCTCCCTATTTTGCAGAGTAGGAAACAGAGGTGGAACAAATCTGGCTATAAGGTTTTGGAAATCACATGTATAATTCGAACCCACAAGTACGGCGTCCAGGGCTGGTTCCGGTCAGGTTTCCGCGCAGAGACAGGCAGGTGCGGAGTGGTGTGGGAGTCACCGCAAGTTTTGTGCTTTGAGCATCCCCACCTGGCGAATTCCAGAGTTTCGTGGATTAGCAGCAGCAAACGAAGCTCTGTAAAGATCCGCTAGCCTTGAGTTTGGAGTGTGGCTAGAAAAGCGTAGGGAATTCATTTACTGTTCAGTCGGTGCGGTACTCCTCTGTTCTCATCCTCTCGATGATCCGGCTAAATAGAGATGAGGAGGTGGGTGGGAGTTTTTGCTCAAGATCACTGCAACGGATCATAGTTTTCTAGGTGCTGTGGTTGGTGGTCTAGGCTTGTTTTCTGTGCCAGTTAAAGAGTTAAAAGGCAGAAGAAAAATAAAATCCCGAGTTCAACAGGTAACAGAGAAATCTCAAACACCACAGACAGCAGCAAACACAGAGAAAAAGACCCTCTGTAAAGCAGAAGGGGTGAGGTTGGAAAACCAAAAATTCCAACCTCTTCTTGAGTGCTGGGTTAAAAAACAAAAACAAAAAACTTTCCTTCCCTAATTTAGGGTTGGTGGGTTTAAAGAAAGGATGTTTGATTGTTTTGCAACTGTTGTGTTACATGTCCTGATCTGGCCTTAACTTGTTGAGCCAGTGAATCAACAGGGGTCCTGCTAGGGGGTGACAAAGCCTACAAGGCCTTTTATGTAGGGTTTCTCTGCACAGCCCTTGTGGACCTGGAACTCACACTAGACCAGGTCCACCTGCTTCTGCCTCCGGAGTGCTGGGATTAAAGGCGTGTGCCACCACCACCACCAGGTCTAAGGCCTCTATTTTAAGCTACCAGGTTTTTGTCGGGTCAGAAGGGTGCAGAAGAAGTCGGCCATCTTGGAAATGCTATACCTTGTTAAGTAGCCATGACTCCTCTCCATATCTGTGTGTCTACCAGGAAGTCTTAACTCCTTTCTGTAAGGCATGTATATGCACACACACTCGCACCCTTTGAAAACTTTTAAAATCATAGCTAACTGTTGTTGTTATCACCGTCCCCAGCTATGGAGGGAGGAAATAAAAAATCTGTCATAACCACTAGGCTTACACTATGGTGACTGAATTTACCTCCACCACATAGGGAGTGCTGAATTTTACCTGAATACAGTACCTTTGGAAAACAGTGAAGAAACAAATCTTATCATCCCTTTGTATTGCAGCAAGCAGCTTACTGCAGGAAAACATCCTTCCTATAGCACTTAGGGAGAACTCCAGGATGCTCCTTCATTCCCTATGATGAATCAGAAAGTCCCTCCAAATTCCCATGCTGGATTTAATAAGTGATTAGCCGAACTGCTTGTCTCCACTTACTCACAAAATGCTGGCTAGTCAAATTAGGTCCCTGGATGTTGGTTCCCATATAGCCACACACAGGATAACCCTGAATTTTCTAGTTTTGGATTTCTTCTCTGTGAAAGAAAAACTCAAACTGGGAAGGCAATCAGTCAGTACAGTATGAGGTCCTGAGTTCAAATCCTCAGTACTCAAGTGCAGGAGCAAGTACCTTACAATTCCAGAATTGGGGAGGTATAGACAGGAGGATCCCCACGGCTGGCTGTCCTGTCAGTTTAGCAGAATCAGTGAGGTCCAGAATCAGTGAGAGATGCTATCTTGAAGGCAGGGTTTAAATGAGTTCACCAGACCCAAGATGAATGATAGATATTCATTAGGGAAAACACACAGGTAAGAGTAAATAACTGCCGTGGATTTCCTGCTCCAGAAGATGCAGTCTCTGCCCTTCTGATGCTCTCTGCAACCCAAGAGAGCTTGAACCAGCCCCTCTACCTTATAATGGGTCAAGTCTGTACCTGAAACCATGCCCAAAGAGTGTGTCCACCACTACAAGTTCACTGGCAAGGCAAGATGCCACTACAATCCCCCTTTTGTCTGAAGAAGGATTTAAGTCTGATACAAAAACTATGTGCAATGATAACAAATATCAAGTATATTCAAAGAGAAGGAAAGGTAAAAACATATACAAATTAAGACCTACAACCAGCAAGAGCAACACTGAACGTTAGACACATTCTACATGTCCCGTCTCAGGGTAATATCATATAACAGAGATTACTCCGATCACTGTTCTAATCTGGAAAGTCTAAGTCTTGTCTAGTATTTTATATCTAAGATAAAAGAGGATATTAGCTGTGACTGTCTAGGCTTTTTTTTTTTTTTTTTTTTCCCTGAGACAGGGTTTCTCTGTGGCTTTGGAGGCTGTCCTGGAACTAGCTCTTGTAGACCAGGCTGGTCTCGAACTCACAGAGATCCTCCTGCCTCTGCCTCCCAAGTGCTGGGATTAAAAACGTGCGCCACCACCGCCCGGCTGACTGTCTAGGCTTTAACCTCATCAAATACCTGAGAAGGAAATTAACATTACTAGGGTAGGCAGGAACTGCAAGCGTGCAGCTTCCTAAAGGTGCAAACACAGAAACAGCAGGCTACATGGACAGTCACCTAAGGTTTTACAGTAACATTGGGGCAACCAACTTTGGCTAAGGCCTAGAGTATCTGGCAGACCATCTCAGAAGCAGGAAAACTGAAAGACTGTCTTACCCTCACTTAGCAAGGTTCACCAGTCTAAATTTATCTCCTGCTAGCCCAGTTAGGACAGCGTGTCCAAAGTCAGGTAGGGGCAGTTCTTTGCCCAAAAGGTCAGTAGCCAAGAAGAGAATGAACTACAAATGGAGAGTCATGGATGCCCATCATACTCTCGGGAATAGCTCAGTGCTGTCAGGAGTAATTGTGTTTCATGTCAATGGAGTTCTAAATCATTAAAATATTTAAATGTCATATTCTGTAGGTCTTTGAATTGTTTGAATTGATGTTGGGTACATCTCTGAACACATGTAGAACCTGACTAATATCATAGGCATAAAAAGCATGGGTAACTATAATCTAATTTTCAGAAATATAGTTGCTCAGTGACTGAAGCTTCCCAAATATAATTTAAACAATCTTTAAACTGATGTATAGCATAAGGACAATGACCTCAAATGTGTAACTGTATACATACATACATATGTAAATCTTTAAAACAGAGGTAGAATGGAAATGTCTTATCCAGAGGTAGAACTGTATAATGCAACATGATAAAAATATCCTAAATTCTATCAATATACAAAATATCTTAAGCATATTTAGAAGCATACATGCATAGAAGATGATGGATTGTAAAGGGAAGCTTTTCCTTGCTAGCCGCTTTGGTTTATCACCCGCCAGTCGCCTGGGCTCTGCCCAAATAACACACAAGACGCTGTATTAATTATGAAGCTGTTGGCCTTGCTTGTTTCTTACTGGCTAGCTCTGACTTAAGTAATTACCCCATAATTGTTAATCTAAGTATTTCTCTTACCGGAGAATAGTTCCGGGCTTCCTACCCCATGGCGTTACATCTTGACTCTGTCGTGTTTCTCCTTCCCAGAGTCCTCCTGGACTCCTAGTCCCACCTTTCTAGATTCCTATTGGCTCAACAGTGCTTTATTGACATAAGACTTCCCCAACAATGGATAGTTTCATATTTGTGTGCAAAACAAACAGAAGAGCTTACACAGTATAACAAATATACAAATTATTCAAGACAGGAATACAAAATTAATTTTACATAAGTTTCAACTTACAAGAATCTATAATGATGTAAGTTGTCTATAGCTAATAGTTGCTAACATAGCTCACAAGAAGATATGTTAATCTATCTATATCCTATCCCATCCATACTCTTTAAACTTTTTAAAAAGAGATTTCTGAGTCTGACCGTGATCTTCCATTCCCAACTCTACACAACTAAAGCCAACCCTTAGCAGGTGATAATTATTCATTTTCTAGGGGAAAAAAATACCATTTAAGCCGACTGTAGGGAAAGTGGGTGTTGTTTTCTTAGAATTACTTTCTGTTGTCATGGGGTGAAGGTGACTCTATGAGATCCTTTAAGGGGAAAAAAAACACCCAAAGCAATGATTAAGTCTCAAGAGGACTAGCTGTAACATTTGTAGTTGGTCTCTGAGTATCAGGTGATGCTTGTCTGAAGTTCTTACCTGAAACTCTGGTCAGAGTGTTCTAAGAAGATGCACTATCTCAGCTAGTTAATCTGTAATTGTCTAGAGCAGTTTTAGTTCCCAACTGATCCTTGAGTGGTATATGCTAGTTCAAAGACATCAAGTTGAATTAAGTGGGATCAGTGTTGTGTGTCCCCATCTTCTTTCTGGAGATTTTAAAGATCGTTGTTAGAAAATGTTATTGTTTACTGTGGAAGACTTAAACATTAATATCTACACAGAAAGTTTAAAATTTTTTAGGTGTGTATACTGGGAAAGGTATCAGTAAGGATGAAAATAAATAGGGAAATTAGGATTTTTTGAGAGATAACAGAGTTTTGACATTAATAGACTCTAGATTTTTGTTTTCTTCTGTCTCATAAAGGTTGGTGCTTCTGATATGAGACAGAAACTCTGAATTTTTCTTTTAACAACATGCTTGGATTTAGAGGAGAGCCACAGTCCAACTCCAAAGCCAGCTTTGATGTATAAGTGAATTGAGACTACTACCATACTGGGAAGTAAGGAGATATAGGTGTTTAGGTAGAGAGATTTTACCCTGTATAGATATTGGTACCATAAGTCAGATTCTTCTTTGTTTGATGATTCTTTCTGGATAGCTATCCTTTCTTCTTTAGGCATCCACAGGTCCAGTGTCTTTTGGCTTCTTGAAGATGGGTATGTTTTGTTTTCCTGAAAAGACAAGAACAGAACCCTGTCCCGACCTTTGTGAGGTTTCCTTACAACTTACAGGATTTTCACCTTGGTGGATGACTTATCATTTCTCCTCATCAAGAGGTTTCTCCTGTTTACATCAGATCTTGATCAACTATAGATACAAAGGTGAAACCCCTTCCCCAACATAGCATATGTCCTGGTTTCCATTCTGAGGTCAACACATTCTTGAAATATACCAACTGATTTAGCTCAGCAGTTTTTTTTCTATTGTCCAATGTCTTTCTGTGGCTGTTTTTCCTTTCTCATTAAGAAAGTTCGAGGTTAGTAAGGCATTATGCAATCTGTTTTTGGGGATCTTGGCTCCCCATGCCTGTTAATAGAGCATTTTCCTTTAAAGTGTGATTAGATCTCTCAACAACTGTTTGTTGTAGGATTGTGTGGTATACCTGTAATATGCTTTATGTTATAATATTTTAAAAACTTTTAATTT